GATGTCTCACACAGCAGACAGAAGCGATGAGTTTGCCTGCTCCCTCCTCAATCCTCACCTCCCCAGCCGTCTAGATGCGGGCATGTCCAGGTGATCCTCGGTGCCCCTAAAGCCGCCCAGGGTGCCCCAGGATTCTCCAGGACCTCCCGGACGGCCGGGACATCAAGAGCGGCGACAGCACGGTGATCGCAGCTCTTTTCCCACACGCGCGCGCCCCCTGCAGCAGGTGGGATGGTGACGATGACGATGATGATGATGCTGATGATGATGATGATGATGATGATGATGATGATGATGATGATGGTGATGGTGAGGATGAGGATGATGATGAGGATGAGGATGAGGATGAGGATGATGATGATGATGCTGAAGATGCTTATGATGATGGTGGTGTTAATATGATCATGATGATGATGCTGATGATGAGGATGATGATGATGATGATGATGATGATGATGATGATGATGATTATGATGGTGATGATGATGATGACGATGATGATGATGACTACGACGATGATGATGATGGTGATGATGCTGATGACGATGACGATGATGGTGATCATGAGGATGAGGATGAGGACGATGATGACGATGATGATGTTGACGATGATGATATTGATGGTGATGGTGATGGTGATGGTGACGACGATGTTGATGCTGATGATGATGCTGCTGCAAATAATGATGATAATGTTGATGATGAGGATGATTATGATGGAGATGATGCTGATGATGATGCTGATAGTGAGAAAGATGATGAGAACGATGATGATACTGCTGCTGATGATGATGGCGATGACGATGACGATGACGAGAATGATGATGAGGAGGAGGAAGAGGAGGCTGGGAATGAGGAGAACGACGACGATGACGATGATGATGATGATGATGATGATGATGATGATGATGATGATGATGATGATGATGATGATGATGATGATGTTGATGCTGATTATGATAATTGTGATGATGATTATTAAGATGATGATGATGATGATGATGATGATGATGATGATGATGATCATGATCATGATGATGATGATGATGATGAGGAGGAGGAGGAGCAGGATGATGATGATGATGATGATGATGATGATGATGATGATGATGATGATGATGATGATGATGCTGATGCTGATGCTGATGCTGATGCTGATGCTGATGCTGATGCTGATGCTGATGCTGATGCTGATGCTGATGGCGATGATAAGGTTTAATGGTAATGATGGTAGCGATGGTGATGATGGTGATGCTGATGATGCTGATGATTTGAGATAGTTCGTCTTGAGAAATGACGTCATCCGGCCCCCCGGCGCGCAGGGGGGATGGGCCCGCCATCCGGCCCCCCCTGTTCCGTTTCAGGGAAATCTGGCGACGAATTCCAAATCGGCGCCCTGGCGTGAGGCATGCTGAGAAAATCAGCCCCCCGAGCATCCCCAAGGAGGCCATCAGAGAGCCCCCCGTGAAAGCTGGCGACGAATTCCAAACCGGCGCCCTCACGTGAGGCATGCTGAGAAAATCAGCCCCCCGAGCATCCCCAAGGAGGCCATCAGAGAGCCCCGCGTGAAATCTGGCGACGAATTCCAAACCGGCGCCCTCGCGTGAGGCATGCTGAGAAAATCAGCCCCTCGAGCATCCCCAAGGAGGCAGTCAGAGAGCCCCCCGTGAAATCTGGCGACGAATTCCAAATCGGCGCCCTGGCGTGAGGCATCCTCAGAAAACCAGCCCCCCGAGCATCCCCAAGGAGGCCATCAGAGAGCCCCGCGTGAAAGCTGGCGACGAATTCCAAACGGCGCCCTCGCGTGAGGCATGCTGAGAGAATCAGCCCCCCGAGAGGCCATGCGTGAAATCTGGCGACGAAAGAATGCTCAGCCCCCCGAGCATCCCCAAGGAGGCCATCAGAGAGCCCCGCGTGAAAGCTGGCGACGAATTCCAAGTCGGCGCCCTCGCGTGAGGCATGCTGAGAAAATCAGCCCCCCGAGCATCCCCAAGGAGGCCATCAGAGAGCCCCGCGTGAAAGCTGGCGACGAATTCCAAACCGGCGCCCTCGCGTGAGGCATGCTGCCCCCGAGCATCCCCAAGGAGGCCATCAGAGAGCCTCCTGTGAAATCTGGCGACAAATTCCAAACCGGCGCCCTCGCGTGAGGCATGCTGAGAAAATCAGCCCCCCGAGCATCCCCAAGGAGGCCCTCAGAGAGCCCCCCGTGAAAGCTGGCGACGAATTCCAAATCGGTGCCCTCGCGTGAGGCATGCTGAGAAAATCAGCCCCCCGAGCATCCCCAAGGAGGCAGTCAGAGAGCCCCGCGTGAAAGCTGGCGACGAATTCCAAATCGGCGCCCTCATCGCGTGAGCAGCTTGATAAAATCAGCCCCCCGAGCATCCCCAAGGAGGCCATCAGAGAGCCCCGCGTGAAAGCTGGCGACGAATTCCAAGTCGGCGCCCTCGCGTGAGGCATGCTGAGAAAATCAGCCCCCCGAGCATCCCCAAGGAGGCAGTCAGAGAGCCCCCCGTGAAATCTGGCGACGAATTCCAAACCGGCGCTCGGTGAGGCATGCTGCGGAAAATCACCCCCCGAGCATCCCCAAGGAGGCGTCAGGAGGCCCCCCTTGAAATCTTGCGACGGATTCACCCGGCGCTCCTCCAAGCGTGAGGTATCTGAGAAAATCAGCCCCCCGAGCATCCCCAAGGAGGCAGTCAGAGAGCCCCCCGTGAAATCTGGCGACGAATTCCAAATCGGCGCCCTGGCGTGAGGCATCCTCAGAAAACCAGCCCCCCGAGCATCGCCAAGGAGGCCATCAGAGAGCCCCGCGTGAAAGCTGGCGACGAATTCCAAACCGAGAGCCCCGCGTGAAAGCTGGCGACGAATTCCAAATCGGCGCCCTCGCGTGAGGCATGCTGAGAAAATCCGCCCCCCGAGCATCCCCAAGGAGGCCATCAGAGAGCCCCCCGTGAAATCTGGCGACGACTTGCCACACCGCCCCTCGCGTGAGGCATGCTCAGAACACCAGCCCCCCGAGCATCCCCACGGATGGCGCTCAGAGAGCACCCCGTGCAAGCTGGCGAACGAATTTCCAAACCGATCTCCCTCGCGTGAGGCATGCTGAGAAAATCCTCCCCCCGAGCCATCCCCAGGGAGGCCCTCAAAGAGCCCCGCGTGAAAGCTGGCGAACGAATTCCCAAACTGGCGCCCTCGCGTGATGCATCCTTAGAAATCCGCCCCCGAGCATCCCCAAGGAGGAGCCCCGCGTGAAAGCTGGCGACGAATTAGCACGGAGCCTCGCGTGAGGGCATCTCGTGCAATCAGCCCCAGCATCCCCAGGAGGCCATCAGAGAGCCCCCGTGAAAGCCTGGCTGACGAATTCAACCGCGCCCCCTCGCGTGAGACATGCTGAGGAAATCCGCCCCCCGAGCGTTCGCCCCAGGAGTCCATCAGAACCCCGCCGGGGCAGAAGAGGGCGTGGGCTGGGGCGGGCCAAAGTCGACCCCCGCGCGCCGGAAACGCAGGCCTTGGCATCGCTCGGACGTGTTCGTTCTTTCCTCGCGAGTACATCGAGGAGCTCCTTGTGATTTTGGCGAAAAAAAAACACGCACGAAACCGAAAAAAACACAGGAAATGGACGTCCGAGCGATGGCCAGGGAGCTATTTCTGGGGATCTGCCGGCGCGCGCCCGAGCGCGCGCCTCCCGGGGGGGACCCCAAGGACGATGCAGGGAGGAAGACGCTTAGCGGGCGAAGAACGGTCTAAAGTAAAATGTTTCCGCCATCGGGGACGCCTGCCCCCTGGGCGGCTGGTATACCCCTACGGTACCAAGAAGGGGCATGATTTTTATAAACCGTCCAAGCGCCTGGGGGGCAGGCGTCCCAGACGGCTGAAAAGTGTATTGTATACCTTCTTCGCCCGCTAAGACGTAGGATGACGGAGGAGTGGAGGAGGAGGCAAGATGGGGAGGAGAACGAGGAGGAAAGGAGAAAGAGCTGGACGAGGAGGAGAAGGACGAGGAGGAGGAGGAGGAGGAGGATGAGGAGGAGGATGAGGAGGAGGAGGGGGAGGAGGGGGAGGAGGGGGAGGAGGAGGAGGAGGAGGAGAAGGAGGAGAGGGTAGAGGAGTCGGAGGAGGAACGACCTCCAGGGACCTCATGGGACTTCCTGGGAGAATGTGGACGAGAAGGTCGAGGTTGCCAGCATGGGGGCCGGGGGGCTGGATGCCACCGCCTCCCGCTCATCCTCCTCTCGCCTATAATCACACGTCCCTTTTCTATACACCGAAACTCACAAACAGCCGCAGAGTGGCTGGCTAGTATTGTTGTTGCTGTTGGTGTTGGTATTGGTGTTGTTGCCGCTGCTGTTGCTGCTGCTGGTGTTGCTGCTATTGTTGTTGCTGCTGCTGGTGTTGTTGTTGGTGTTAATGGTGTTGCTGCTGCTGTTGTTGGTGGTGTTGTTGATGGTGATGCCGATGTTGTTGGTCTTAGTGTTGTTACTGTTGTTGTTGGTGTTGGTGTTGTTGCTGCGGCTGATGTTGTTGTTGTTGTTGTTGTTGTTGTTGTTGTTGTTGTTGTTGTTGTTGTTGTTGTTGTTGTTGTTGCTGGTGTTAGTGTTGTCAGTGTTGATGTTGATGATGCTGCTGTTGCCGTTGTTAACAATGATGCCGATGATGATGGTGGTGGTGATGATGTGAATGCTGATGCTGCTGATGATGATGATAATCATCATCACCATGATGATAAGCTTGATGCTGGTAAAGATGATGGTGATGCTGGTTATGATGAGCATGCTGAGAATGGTGATGACGATGGTTGTGGCTGTGAGGAGGAGGAGGCAGACAGTGATGATAATGTTGATGATGATTCTGATGATGATGCTGCTGATGATGATGACGATGATGATGATGATGATGATGATGATGATGATGATGATGATGAGGTTGATGATGATGATGACGATGACGATGGTTGTGATGGTGGTGGTGATGGTGATTATGGTGACGAGGAGGAGGGGCAGTGGGAAGCGATCCAGTCAACTGTCGATGCTGGCCATTCCAGTGTTCCGGCAACTCAGTGCGCTCCGATGCTTGCATGGCGCTGCGTTGCATCCCAGCGCGGCCGATCCGCTTTGATTCAGATTATGTACCGATGCAGCCCGATCTGGCCCACATTCCCGTTTGATCCGATCTCCCGATTCGATGTTGACCGATGTTGTTTCCTTGCCTCCCCCCTTTCGAGGAGGACTTCGGCGGACCCAGCTCGGCATGGCACGGGCACGCGGACCCGAACCTCACCTACGCGGTGGAGCTCGTCGCGACCATGGGCCTTCGGAGGGCGCCAAATTGTATCCCCTCGCCCATCCTGGTTGGGCGGATCCTGGGCTTAGGATTGGTGTATGTGTTTCTCCAGCCGATCCGCGAGGTGTGCACCGATGCTGGGCCCAGGGTGGACATGGCCTGGAGGAGGAGAAGAATGAGGAGGAGGAGTAGGAGCAAGGAGGAGGAGGAGGAGGAGGGAGGAGGAGGAGGAGGAGGTGTGAAGGAGGAGGAGGGAGGAGAGGAGGAGGGAAGGAGGAGGAGGAGAAGGAAGGGTACCCAAACATGTGCAACAGTACCAGCAGGGCGGCTCTGGGTCTCCTCCTTCTCCTCCTCGAACGCCGAGACCAGGAAGAATCTCAGCAATCGACCTCGGAGGAGGACGGGTGCGGGCGTATGGTTTGAGGCCCTCCCAGGCCTGGACAAGTCGGGGGGCAAGATCGCGACAGAGGAGCCGCGGTCGCGGCCGGCGCCCCCCGGAGGGGCACCTCGCTCCCACCCACTCCTCCTTCCCTCCTCCTCCGCCTCCTCCTCCTCCTCCTCTCCTCCTCCTCCCTTCCTCCTCCTCCTCCTCCTCCTACTCCTCCTCCTCCTCCTCTCTCCTTCCTCCTTCCTACTCCTCCTCCTCCTCCTCCTCCTTCCTTCCTATCCTCCTCCTCCTCTCCTCCTCGTCTCTCCCTCTCTCTCCTCCGCCTCCCCCCTCCTCTCCTCCTCCTCCTCTCCTCTTCCCTCCTCCTCCTTCCTCTCCTCCCCCTCCTTTCTCTCTCCTCTCTACCTTCCTCCTCCTCCTCCTCCTCCTCCTCATCCTTCTCCTCTCGGGCCGACGAAAGGGGGGATAGGGAAAGGGGGGGTTACGAAATCTGCTGCATGCAGCTGGTTTCGGCCCCGCCGCCGGGCCCCTTCCTCGATACATGGGCGCCTCCTGGCGCCGGGCGGCGCTGGGGAAATCAGCTACGTGAGCTGACGATCTACCCTACCCTTTGCTATTCCCCTCTTTCGTTCCCCCCGATCCTCTCCAGCCCTCCTCCTCGCCATCCCTCCTCCACCCCCCTCTCATCTCCCTCCTCATGACCTTCCCTCCCTCCCTCCCTCCTTCCTCCTCCACCCTCCTCCTCCTCATCCCCCTGTTCGGAGGTCGAGGTTCGGAGTTCGAGGCTCGAGGTTGGAAGGTTGAGCGTCGAGGTTCGACTTTCGAGGTCCGAGGTGCGAAGGTTTATATTCGAGGCTCGATGGTCGATGTTTGAAGTTCGAAGGTGGACGGATGACGTTCGAAGGTCGAGCTTCGAGGATCGAGGCTCAAGGTTCGCAGGCTGAAGATCGAGATTCCAGGTTCGCGGATTGAAGATCGAAGTTCGGGTTTCGAAGCTGTGGTCTTTTTGACCGCCTTTTGACAGCAGGCGCACTGCCGAGGAGGCTGGCCTGCCGGCGCATGCACCACGGAAGTGTCCCGTCTCCGCCCTTGGCCACGAGGACCCACAGAGGCCCCAGGGCACCCTTGGGAACCTTGAAGAGTCGACCGCACATGCGCTCCATATGTTTCTACTTATATGGGCAGAGAGATGCACATGCATATGCATATATATATATATATATATATGTGAATATGCATGCGTGTATGCATGTATGTATGTATGCATGTATGTATGTATGTATGTATGGATTGATGTATGGATGGATTGATGAATGGATGCATGTGTGTATGTATATGTGTATATATATATGTGTACATATGCATGCATGCATGCATGCATGTATGTATTTATGAATGTGTGTATGTATGTAGGTATGTATGGATGTATGCATCCACACATAGTTACTTATCCATATATGTAAACAAACGTGTGGTGTAGAGCGAGAGGGTGAGAGAGACAGAGATAGCAAACAAAACAGAGAGGCATACATACATATATATATATATATACACATATGATCTGGAAAAGTAGAGGCATCTATACATCCACACACACAATAACCAGATGTTTCGCCGTATGCGTTTTTATCGCACGGATTCGGTCCGCAGGGGGCCGTTTGCGCAACCCTTGGGGCATCCAGAAGCGGCCCGCGGCGAGGAGCTGGCCTCGGGGCTCACAAGTGCTTTGGGACGCGCGGCGCGCGCGCCGCGAGCGAGACGCAACTTCGGCCGATGCCTGCATGGCGCTGCTGTGCGTCCTGGCCTGGCCGATCCGATTCGATGTCGACTCCGTGCAATTGCAGGCTGGTCCGACACGCATTTCGATTCGACACGATCTCCCGATTCGATGCTGGCTCATCCTGTGAATCCTCCTCACGCCGACATCCAACGATGTGAGTTGCTCAGTGCGCGGCCGCAGGAAGGTCCGACCCCTTCTCCAGGGGACAGCTTTTTTCATCCAGGCCTCGTTTTTTGATGGCCCTGGCCATGGGGTCAGATGACGGCCCCTGCAGCGGGAGGCCGAAGTTATGGAAAGGCGCCAGGCGCCAGGATTGCAAAGTCCAGATCAGCGGAGATCCTGGCTTGGGGCCATAGCGGGGGCCTTAGGCTGCCGCGGCGAGACCATCCCGACACGCACAGAACATCTTCGGCGAGGCGCAGCCGATGGACACCACCCGAGGGCCCCGAAACCTCGGACAACTGTCGAGATCCAGTGGCGTTTCGCTGGAGGCTTCGAACGGTCGTGAAACGCGGCCACGGAGGAGTCTCACCGGGGGGGGGGGGCGGGGAGCACCAGATGGCCTATAGGACGGCTGCCGCTTCGCCCGCTATCATCTCACAATGCATGCCGGGATCTTGCTCTCGCCCTGACGCTGAAGCAGCTGCTGGGAACCACCCGAGGGCCCGGAAGCCTCAGCGAGGCGCAGCGGATGGAGTACATCCGAGGGCCTGGAAGCTTTTCCGATGATTCCCGAGATCTCCACAGACGGTTCGACACTTGGCCATTCTCTTGGTCCTTGTGGGCTTTCAGCTACACCAGCCACGGCCGCCGCCCCAGAAGCCCCCGCCGACCTTCGGCGCCGCCGCGGACGGGGACGCGGACCGCAACATGATCCTGAGCTCGCAGTTCTTCGTGTCGCCCTCCGACTCGCTGGCCCGTCGGGGGAAGGGGCGCCAAATAAGGTTCTCGGACGTTTGCGTCACTTCCAAAGTATTTTCAGGTCCCGGGGATGCTTTTCTGCGGCTGCGCTTCGTCGAGAGTGTTCCGGCGAGTGCCTGACTCGTGCCGAACGGCCGCTTCAGGCCCGAACTTGACCCCAACTCCAGGTATCCGACGGTGTGTGTTTCAATCCTGCCATCGTTTTCCTCGGTTTCGGCCTCTGAGGGCCGTGATCGGGTAAGCCGTCTAAAACGGACACGGGACGATCAATTTCCCCACGAAGAGAGAGGGTCGGGACTTCCGTGGGGCCGCGCACTTGACAAATCTCATGATGGTCGGATGTGTGGGACGATGTTTTTCCTCCTCCTTCTCCTCCTTCTCCTCCTTCTCCTCTTGCTCCTCCTCGTCCTCCTCCTCCTCCTCCTCGTCCTATCTCCTCCTTCTCCACCTCCTCCTCCTCCTCCTCTCGTCCTATTTCTACTCCTCTCCTCCTCCTATCCTCCTCCTCCTCCTCCTCCTCCTCCTCCTCCTCCTCCTCCTCCTCCTCCCCCTCCCTCCTGCAAGCCCCCGCGCCAGCGCCCAGTGCCGGCTCAGGCAGCCAGCGCCGCAGCCAGTGCCGCACGTTCGCACGGCCGCGCCTCCTCCGCGCCCAGCGCCGTCCGCAAGCGGCGCGCCGTTGCCCAGTGTAGAGCTGTGCTCCCCAGGGATCAGACGTATTGAACACAACAAGACGAAGGTTCTTTGTATTTCCCAACCATCCTGTGGTGTTGGGTCCTCGTTTTGAAGAGACGGTGCCCCGCGTTCTCCTTCCTTCCTTCCTTCCTTCCTTCCTTCCTTCTCCCGCTTCCTCTCCCCCCGCCCATCATTCATCTTCATCATCATCTTCATCATCTTCATCATCATCAATCATCATCTTTCATCATCATCATCATCATCATCATCATCATCATCATCATCATCATCAATCATCATCATCATCATCATCATCATATCATCAACACCAATTCGGCACACTCCTCACACGCTTTTGTGGCTCCACAAGGGAGCTTCCACCGGAAGTCCCCAGTGCCGCGGCCCGCTATTGCGTCTCCACACCATTTCGGACACCCATCCCCCTCACACGTTTCTGCTCCTCCCATATTCAAAATAGGGAGCTCCACCGAAGGCCCCAGTGCCCGCGGCCGCATGCGTCCCCCACACCATTTCGGCACACCCCTCACACGTTTCGTGGCTCCATAGGGAGCTCCACCGAAGGCCCCAGTGCCCGCGCCCGCATGCGTCACCCACACCCATTTCGGCACACCCCTCACACGATTCGTGGCTCCATAGGGAGCTCCACCGAAGGCCCCAGTGCCCGCGCCCGCATGCGTCAGCCACACCCATTTCGGCACACCCCTCACACGTTTTGTGGCCCCATAGGGAGCTCCGCCGAAGGCCCCCGTGCCCGCGCCCGCATGCGTCAACCACACCCATTTCGGCACACCCCTCACACGTTTCGTGGCTCCATAGGGAGCTCCACCGAAGGCCCCAGTGGCCGCGGCCGCATGCGTCACCCACACACATTTCGGCACACCCCTCACACGTTTCGTGGCCCCATAGGGAGCTCCACCGAAGGCCCCAGTGGCCGCGGCCGCATGCGTCACCCACACCCATTTCGGCACACCCCTCACACGTTTCGTGGCTCCATAGGGAGCTCCACCGAAGGCCCCAGTGCCCGCGGCCGCAAGCGTCACCCACACCCATTTCGGCACACCCCTCACACGTTTCGTGGCTCCATAGGGAGCTCCACCGAAGGCCCCAGTGCCCGCGGCCGCATGCGTCCCCCACACCCATTCGGCACACCCCTCACACGTTTCGTGGCTCCATAGGGAGCTCCACCGAAGGCCCCAGTGCCCGCGGCCGCATGCGTCCCCCACACCATGTCGGCACACCCCTCACACGTTTCGTGGCTCCCTCGGGAGCTCCACCGAAGGCCCCAGTGCCCGCGGCCGCATGCGTCCCCCACACCCATTTCGGCACACCCCTCACACGTTTCGTGGCTCCATAGGGAGCTCCACCGAAGGCCCCAGTGCCCGCGCCCGCATGCGTCACCCACACCCATTTCGGCACACCCCTCACACGTTTCGTGGCTCCATTGGGAGCTCCACCGAAGGCCCCAGTGCCCGCGCCCGCATGCGTCACCCACACCCATTTCGGCACACCCCTCACACGTTTCGTGGCTCCATAGGGAGCTCCACCGAAGGCCCCAGTGCCCGCGCCCGCATGCGTCACCCACACCCATTTCGGCACACCCCTCACACGTTTCGTGGCTCCATAGGGAGCTCCACCGAAGGCACCAGTGCCCGCGGCCGCATGCGTCCCCCACACCACTTTCGGCACACCCCCTGCATTTCTCGCACGGCAGGGTCATCACCACGGTGGCGTGCCAGGGGCGCACCATGCGCGAAGGCGACGGGGCGGGGGAACGGCGCTCCGGGGGCGGCCAGACCTCCGGGGCGCGAGCAGTCCGCGGCCAGACCATCTCTCGGTCCTGTGGGCTCTCGCCCTGGGCCGTCGGCTGCCCGGCGCGCTGCTCCCTCGGTCGACGTCGCCCAGGCGTGATCCTGGATTGCGGCCGCCACGAGGTAGGGAACGGCAAGAAGGAGGACGACGAATGGTGGCTGGAGCTCTACGTGCTGCTCTCGCGCGCCACGCGCCACGAGGACCTCCTGCTCATGCGGGCGCCGCGCATCGAGTTCTTCCTGGCAGGGCCGCCGCAGGGCTTGCGGAAGCAGCTGGAGCAGTTTGCGGCGCGCACGAAGCGGTGCAGGAGGGAAGCGACGGCCCTCGCCAGGGAGCTCGGCTTCACCGAGTTCATCCGCGAGGCCTGACCTGAGGAGCGTCTCCCCCGAGCCGCGCCTTCTCTCGACTGCCCGACTAATTGTTTGGCCTCGCGCCGCGGACGACCCGCGCGCGTCGCTGGGACCCTCTCGGGGCGACCAGCGCGCGTCGCGGGAACTCCGTGCTGCGGGGGGCCCGGCGCCTCGTTCGCCCGTCGTCGCTCTGCCCAGCGGTCAGAGACTTGCCCGCTCTCAGCCAGCCAGTTAGCTAGTCAGCTCTCTCTGCTTCGCGCAGCGGACGACCCGCGCGCGTCGCTGGGACCCCGCCCGGGGCGACCAGCGCGCGTCGCGGGGACTCCGCGCTGCGCTGCGCCCGCAGCCTTGGATTTTGGAGTGCGCGGGCAAAGAGGAAGGAAAAGAAGAGCCGAAAGCGGGCGCGATCCTCGCAAGAGGCGTGCCGACATGGGCGTCGCGACGTGCGGACGCTGCCGTCGGGGTTCCCGCGGAAGCTGCCTGCGGCGGCCACGCCCAGTGTCACGTGTGTTCGGACAGGCATGCTCGACACTTACACTAGGCGGTTCCATGATCGCATTCATGCACATATATTCACTCGCGCGCAGACCCATTCATACTCAGATTCCCTCGCGCTCTGACTCACCCGCGTTTTTTCTCTCGTAATCAGATCTATCGTATTCCTTTGCGTTGTGTACCCCGCCACATTTCGGCGCACCCCTCATGCGGTTCGTGGCCCCATAGGGAGCGCCACCGAAGAAGATACTCACAATTGCGATACTCACAACTGCATATGGTTGGGTCCTTCGCCAGGATAATTTTTGGCCTCGAGGGGCCCTCGCCGGGCCCCGGGACCGTCAACAAGAGACTCAGGATGGAAAACCGGTCCTGGGGAATGGGTCGAGACTTCCGGAGACCCCGTTCGGAAAAAAACACGACATCGGATCTCTGGCTCAGCTCGGCACCCCACCCACCGCGGTGCGAGGGTGCCGGCAGTGCTGGCCCCGTCGTCAGCCTCTGGGCCATAGCCGAGCAGCTGCGCTGGCCACCGCAAGCGCCTGGCTGGGCTGCGGCGCCCCGCGGCCTCCAGCGCCAGCGGCAGCAGCCGCCAAAGTGCGCGGCGGCCGGCGGGGTGGTGCTCGCGTTTGCGGATTCGCCCTCCCGGGCCACGCCGCCGTCGGCGCTTGCCGCCATCCCTAGGGCGCGCTGGTCGCCTGTCACGCGGAAGCGGACTGTCACGTCTGCCAGCAGCCAGGGGCAGCTGGCGCGCTGCGCCTCGAGGTTCAGCAGCGCCTCCTCTCGGTGCGTCCCGGGCGCGGCCCCACAAACCCCGCTGGGGCCTTGCGACGGGGCGTCGGGGCGTCCGCGCGCCGCGCAGCCTGGCGCCAGGCACGCCCAGTGCCAGCGGCCCCAGGCCGGGACGTGCACTTGGCGCGCCGTCCGGAAGCCACACTTTGCATGAATGCGCTCTCAGACGCGTTTTCGACGTCGCGGTGCGCGCCTTGGTGCCCCCGCCGCAGGCACACCGGAAGGCGTGGTGCGCCTTGCAGCAGATCGGCTCGCCGCATCTTGGCCCGCGCGCCCGTGCGCAGCCGGTTCCATCAGCGGCTGTTCGGCGGCGCGAGGTCCTGCCCCAGCAGCGCCCGCGCCGTGCTGAGGTAGTCGTCGTCCTCTAAGCGCTGCCAGGGGCCGCCGCTGCCAGCTGCCAGCCGGCTGGGTGGGCGCCGCCGCAGGAGCGGAGGCCACGGGAGCCGCCCGCCGAGGCGCAGCGGCAGCCATCAGTGGGCGCTTTGTTCCTCCTCCTCCTCCTCCTCCTCCTCCTCCTCCTCCTCCTCCTCTTCCCCCTCCTCCTCCTCCTCCTCCTCCTCCTCCTCCTCCTCCTTCTCCTTCTCCTCCTCCTCTTCCCTCCTCCTCCTCCTCCTCCTCCTCCTCCTCCTCCTCCTCCTCCTCCTCCTCCGCCTCCTCCTCCTCCTCCTCCTCCTCCTTTTCCTTCCGTAACCATTTTGGCTCAAGTCACCATGTCGCGCTGCGGCCGCATGGAGACCTCTGAGCCGAGGCCAGTCCCCATCTGTTTCCAGCCACATCCAGGGGTGAGCTGGCACCCAAGTTTTCTGCCGCCACTCCCAGGGGCTTGCGGCCGCCCGCTCCTGCTCATTGTTCTGG